TTTGTAATGACCGTTTGCACTCTTCCTGGATGATACCTTTGACATCCTCCCACAACTCATCTGGTCTTCGCTCATTAGTGTTCAAGGCCTCAAACCTGTTTCTGAGATGATTCTGAAATTCAGGTGGTATGAAATATAAATACATATTAGCAGGATCAGCTTGTGGTCAAGGAAATAGTGCAGTCTCAGAGAGCCCTCACTCTCAAAAGATCTTGGCACTTGGTTAAAATCTCTGCTATCACCATTTGAAAATATTTAATCATTTTATCCTTGAACTCGTGTCTGGTAAATGGAGTCCAGGAGACAATGGAGCTTAAACATGGACAGAGAGATAGGAGGATGTGTGTGTCTGTCTATGGTTCCTTGCGACTTCATTTCATATAGCACTCGTCGCAAGGAACCATGGACAGACACACACATCCTCCTATCTCTCTGCCTATGTTTAAGCTCCATTGTCTCCTGGACTCCATTTACCAGACACGAGTTCAAGGATAAAATGATTAAATATTTTCAAATGGTGATAGCAGAGATTTTAACCAAGTGTCAAGATCTTTTGAGAGTGAGGGCTCTCTGAGACTGCACTAGTTCCTTGACCACAAGCTGATCTTGCTAATATGTGAGTATTTATACCTCTTTGTTTTACTTTTTATTTTCCTAGTGACTAAAAATGTTGAGTAATTTTATTTACTTCTTGATCTTTTTGTATATTTCTTTATGAAGAGCTTGCTAAGTCTTTTGCCCATTTGTTAGGGTTGTAGTTGTTGTTTTTGATTGCCATCGAGTTGAGCACAACTCATAATGACCCCATGGACAAAAGGCCTGAAGCCTTCCACAACCATTTCCATTTACCAAAGTTCACAAAGTTTCCAGAGGCATGCTGTTTAGAAAGTGGATGCTACTCCTGCTTCCAAAGCTGGTTGTTTTTTAAAAAAATTCTGTGGTATTTAGCTCGGTCCGTATCGTAGTTAGCTATAAATTTGGTCCAAACAAAATCATAGGTTAGCATAATTTAGAGCAAGTTTATTATTATATGTTATTGAGTAAAAAAAACAAAAAACTGTAGAAATTGCTTCTACATTCTGGGTAGATGGTGTCCTTTGCTGTTGTTGTTAGCTGCCACTAAGTTGAGTATGATTCTCATCAACCCTATGAACAGTGGATCTGAACCCTGTCCTATCCTGTTCCTTCTTCAAACTTCCTGACATACTAGAGCCCATTGTAGCAGTCATCCTGTCAGTTTACCTGGATGAGGGTCTTTCTTTCTTTCATCAACCCTCCACCCTTCCAAGTATTATGTCCCTCTCCAAGGAATAGCCCCTCCTAGCATCATGCCCGCAAAGCCTCATCATTCTTGCTTCCAAAAAGCACTCCACCTCCACCCTTCCAAGTATTATGTCCCTCTCCAAGGAATAGCCCCTCCTAGCATCATGCCTGCAAAGCCTCATCATTCTTGCTTCCAAAAAGCACTCCAGCTGCACCCTCTCCAAAACATATTTATTTGTTCTTATGGCAGACCATGGGATGTCCAGTACTCTTGTCCAGCACACAACTCAAAGGCATCAAGTCTTCTTCTGTCATCCCTATACATTGTCCAGCTTTCAGATGCATGGCAAGTGGTCAGAAAGATCATGGCCTATGTCAGACACATCTTAGTCCTCAAATTGACATCATTACGCCTCAATAATTTGGAAAGGTCCCTAACTGCAGACTTTCCCAATGCAATACATCTTCTGATTTCCTGAATGCTAATACCGAGAGTGTTAATTGTGGATATAAGTAAGGTGGAGTTGTTGGCAGTCTCAATCTCTTCTCCATCTACCATGATGTTGCTTATTGGTTCAGTAGTAAGAATATTAATTTTCTTGACATTGAGATGCAATCCATATTGAAAGCTTCATTTTTGATCTTCTGCAACAAATGCTTCAAGTCCTCCTCACTTTCAGCAAGCAAGGTTGCTGTCCTTTGTTAGATCTATATAATCTCTGCTCACCTACATTTTAATTTATTTTTTAAAATTTGTTTTATTTTATTAGTTTGTGTTTGTGTACCTTCAAATCAGATCTGACTGGTACAGGAGGAGATTGCCCCTCCTTCTCCAGCAGAGCCTCTGGTGGATTTGAACCACGTACCTCTGGGATTGCAGTGCAGCTTCTTGCCATTAGGCCACCAGAGCTCCCCATTTTAATTTATTTTAAAATTATTTTCATTGTTGCACATTTTCTTCCTCCCCTTCTACCACCCCCCAGTCTCCCTGAGCCCACTCAGCAATGCATCCCTTGTTCCAGATTGTTGTTGCTGTTGTTATGTGCCGTTGAGTCGTTTGCAACTCATAGCGACCCTATTTACAATAGCCCTAAACCCTGCTCTATCCTGTGCCAATCGCATTGCCTCTGACACACCCATACCGATTACCCCAGTCACTGAATCAATCCACCTCATAGAGGGTCTTCCCCTCCTGTGTTGTCCCTCCACCCTACCCAGCATGATGTCCCTCTCCAAAGACCTGTCTCTCCTTACAACATGTCCAAAGTATGTCAGATGAAGTCCCAGAATCCTTGCCTCCAAGGAGTAGCCCGGTTTAATCCTTTCTAGGATGAATCTGTTTGTTTTCTTGGCAGTCCATGGTATATTTAATACTCTTCTCCAGCACCACAGCTCAAAGGCATCAATTCTCCTATCCTCCCTAGTCATTGTCCAGCTCTCTGATGCACAACAAGTGATTGCAAAGACCATGGTCTGCATCAGGAGCACTTTAGTCTCCAGAGAGACACCGTTGCTCTTGAGTACTTTAGAGAGGTCCCTAACAGCAGACTTTCCCATCGCAATACGTTTTTTTATTTCCTGGCTGCTGGTGCCAAGAGTGTTGACTGTGGAGCCGAGCAAACTGAAGCTGTGAGCAATCTCAATCTCTTCGCCATCCATCCTGATGCTACCAATTGGTCCAGTGGTGAGAATCTTTGTCTTCTCGACATTGAGCCTCAGTCCATACTGAAGCCTGCAGTCCCTGACCCTCTGCAGTAAGTGCACGAGGTCCTCCTCAGTTTCAGCGAGCAGGGTTGTGTCATCTGCATAACGCAGATTATTGATAGATCTTCTACCAATCCTAACGCCACACTTCTCAAAGAGCCTAGCCTCTCAGATAATCTGCTCTGCATACAGGTTGAAAAGTATGGAGATAGGGCACATCCCTGGTGTACACCCTTCCCAAATTTGAACCATGCAGTGTTGCCCTGCTCTGTTCTGACGACTGCCTCTTGGTCCAAGTCATGTCTAATCATATATTCCTTTGAAACAGTATTCTCCCTCCTTTATTCTAACGCAGTGCTCGTTATCTGTTCACTCTTTTCCCATTCTTCCCTCCGTCCCATGTCTGCTCTATTTTATAATGGTAGTGTTATGCAGTATTTGTCATTTTGTGACTGATATATTTCACTCAGTGTAATGTCCTCCAGGCTTCCCCATGCTGTGTAATGTTTTTTGAGTTCAATGTTTCTCAGTGCTGCATAATATTCCATTGTGTGAACGTACCATAGTTTTTCCATCCATTCATTTGTTGATGGGCACTTGGGTTGGTTCCTTCTCTTTGCTATAGTGAATAAGACAACAATAAACATGGGTGTGCATACATTAGTTTGAGTCGTGGCTCTGGGGTCATTAGGGTATATTCCCAGTAGTGGAATTGCTGGGTCGTGTGGTATGTCTATTTCCAAGGTCTTGAAAAAGCACCAGATGGCCGTCCATAGTGGCTTTTACACTCCCGCTAGGAGTGAATATGAGTTCCAGTTTATTCACAACCTCACCAACATTTGTTGTTTGTTGTCCTGTTGAACTTTGGTATTGTTGTTGGGGTCTTGTACTGCCTTGCTAATTATGCCAAAAAGTGCAAGTTCCCAATTGCTCTTAGCTCAGTCCATAACTGTCCAGATCCTTGTTAGTTATAAATGTGGTCCAACCCAAATCATGTATCAGCATAATTTAGAGCAAAGGTTTGTTGTTATATGCCATCAAGTTAAAACTTATTTCTGGATGATTGGCTAGTGGGTTTTCAGAAGCTACAGATTGTGTGGAAGGAGCTACACATCTTTATCTCTTGTAGCTGATGGATTTGAACCATATTATTTGCATTGACAACACAGCTCCTTACTACTGGGCTTCTAGAACCCCCTGGAGCAAAGTTTAAAACTCTGTATTTGCACAGTAAATGCTTCTGTTTGTATTCATAAAAACACAATTAGAAATGTCAATTATTATAATTTCTCCATTTCTAAAACTCTTAAAATAACTTCTTAGCATGTAATTTCTCAATTTCAAAACCTCTCTTAAATAAACTTCTTGTAAGTTTAATATGTGAAAACTAATTTTGGAAAAAATTGCCTACCTGACTGAAGCTCTTCAAGTTTTTCCTTTTTGTATAAAGACAAGTCGCCTATAAAGCAGATACCACCTTTAGCTAGCAAAGCACTACCACCTTGAATGCTAACTGCTCCTGTTCCATATTTATTCCTGGATAGAGTAGGGAAAATTTCAGAAGATACTGGATGATGTATACCACGGGGTATAAGTGTTATACTAAACTTCAGAAGCCTAGGGTAAAAAAAGAAATTATTCATTATCACCATTTAGTATTTGATTTTACGAGGTTTTATTATGTCACCAACTATAATATTAAATGTTTACGGAATATTTATGATAAGTCAACCAGGTATTAGGGATAAAAACACATGAAAGACCTGGTTGTTAACTTGGAAAGCTCACAGCACAGAAATAGAGACATTTTGTGGGGGGAGAATAATCAGTCTAAAACACAGCGTGATATGTACTACAAAAATGTATTGAAAATATGTATAAACAAAAAAGAAAAAAGATCCACTGTTGTCCAGGCAGTTTTGAATCATAGTGATCCCACAGGACATGGTGGGACTGCCCCTTGGTGTGTCCATGCCTGTAATTTTTTCAGAAGCAGACTTTCATATGTTTTTCTCTCACTGAGAGGCTGATGGGTTACAGAAACCAACTTTTCAGTTAGCATGATGCAAGGTGGGAGCTAACTAACCCAGGAAAAACAATTTGCCATTAAAAAGTTGACACTTTAAGCTATGTAATAACAAACAGGACCTTTTACAGGAAAAGGGACCACAGAGTGAGTGCAGCTATGTGGGTGATGATTCAGTCAATCATACTTCAGTGTTGAAAGCACAATAAAAACTTTGGGCACCAAAGCATCATGATTTTTATTACTTGTTGTAGTTGTCAACACCTTTGGAGTATTGGAGCCCTCCCACGCTTCACTTTATACAACTCTCCTTTTTGAGAGGGAAAGAAAAGTAGGGTAGAGTTGGGAAGATGAACGTATCAATCCAAAACGTTATTAAAAAAAACCCTAAAGAACGTAAATTTTTATTGTTTAAAACATATTGAAAAGGAGGAAAAAAAGATGAACTGATCTTAATGCTTCTAAATAATCAAGATAATATATTTCATGGACTGCCAAAGGAACAAACAAATATGTCTTGAAGAAAGTGCAGATGCTCCTTAAAGGCAATGATGGAGAAGGTAAACCCTTTGGAGCACAGCTCTACTCTGACACACATGGTATTGTCCTGAACTGGAGGTGGCAACTGGATCTCTAGCTTTGTGTATGCTTGTGTAGGTTTTTTGAAAGAGTGTTTGCTATTGAGAAACTCCAGAATGCTAAACAGAGGCTCCTTCTAACATTAATAATTTTGAAATTTCAGACAGAGGCTTATTTGGGTTCAGGTGAATCAGTGTTAATAGAATCTTTCAGATTAAGAAAATAACTAGTTGACACTTGTTATTTACCATCAAGTTGGATCTGACCTATAGCTGAACTTCCAGAGACTTTTCAGAGGCCATAAATCACCTGGAAAGAGATTGTCCATCTTTCTCCTGTAGAGCAGCTGATGGTTTAAAACTGTGTGCCTTCGAATTGGCAGTGCAGCTCCTTACCACCAGGCCACCAGATCTCACTATTGACACTTGGGAGTGGCTAAGTGTCCTCAAGTTGACCATGATTCATAGTGACCCTATGAATAGGAGATGAGTGCCCCAATTCTCATCTCTGACATACTCAAGTCCACTATTACAGACACTGACAGTCTTTTCCCTCCTTCATATTTCCAAGCATGATATCCTTTTCCAAGGACTAGCCTTTCCTAACAATATGCCAAGAGTATGTGAGATGAAATTTCACTATCCTTGTCTCAATGGAGCACCCTGGCTTCACCTTTCCTAGATTAAAAAATGAAAACAAAGGACAAAAAGCAGAATATTCACTTAAGGAATGGCAAAAAAGGAAACCTAGTAAAGACACATTTATGTGTAAAGTCTGAAGGAGGAAACAGATTGAAATGTTGAATGACTAGACTTAAAAAATTAAAAACAAACTCCTATTAATTAAGAAGGATAAAACTCATGTTTTTAAGATTTGAGCTTCATTGGTAGGAAAAAAATGTAACACTTTTGTGTGTGTGTCATTGCTACAAATGGATTTAAATAGTGGTAAGGAGTGCCACATGGGTCTTGGCTAAAAGCAGAGAGTACCAAAAGAATGTCTGTGTTTCACTGACTACAGAAAGGCATTTGACTATGTGGAACATAACAAATCGTGACTAACTTGAGAAGAATGGAAATCCAGATTGTGCTCATGTGAAACCTACACTTGGACCAACAAGCAATTGTCAGAACAGAGCTAGGAAAATGCATGGTTCAAAATCAGGAAAGGAGTGCATAAGGGATGTGTCCTTTCTCTATACCTTTTATTTTCTTTTTTAAAATTTCATTTCATTATTTTTTGTGTGTGTACCGTCAAATCTGATCTGACTGGTACAGGAGGAGATTGCCCCTCATTCTCCAGCAGAGCATCTGGTGGATTTGAACATCATACCTCTGGGATTGCAGAGCAGCTTCTTGCCACTAGGCCACCAGAGTTCCCTTCTCTATTCCTTTTCAATATATCTACAGAACAGGTCATTCGAGAGGCTAGATTTTATGAGGAGGACTGTGGCATCAGGATTGGAGGAAAACTCATCAAAACTTGTATTATACAGATGACACAACCTTGCTTGCTGAAACTGAGGAGGACCTGAGGTATTTGCTGCAGAAGGTTAAGGACCACAGTCTTCAATATGGACCGAAGCTCAACATCAAGAAAACAAAGATTCTCACCACTGGATCAACTGGCAACCCATGATTAGAGAAGACACTGAGATTGTTAATAATTTCAACCTGCTTGGTTCCACAACACACACACTTACCACTAGAAGGAAATAAAAAGATAAATTGCATTGGAAAAATCTACTGTCAGGAACCTTTCCAGAGTGCTGAAGAGAAAAGATGTCACTCTAGAGACTAAGGTGTGCCTGATCCAGGCAATGGTCTTCAAAATTACTTGACATACATCAGAGAGCTGGAAAATGACTAAGGATGAAAGAAGAATAATCGATGCCTTTGAGTTGTGGTGCTGGAGAAAAGTATTGAACATATATTATAGAGTGCCAAGAGAACAAACAGGTCTGTCCTGGGGACAGTGAAACCAAGTTGCTCTTTGGCAGCAAGGATTTTCTTTCTCTTTTTTTTTCTTCAAAAGAAACCCTAAAATTTATTTATTTTTTAAAATTAATTTAACTGAAAGTTTACAGAGACTTAGGGTTTCCAGTCATTCATTGTTGCACTTTTCTCCTGCCCCCCACCAATTCACTCATCTCCTTGAAAAGAAAAACTCTTTCATTGTTATGCAATCCCTCCCCTCAAGTCTACTCCACTGTGCAGGCTTCATTGTGGATTCCTGTCATGACAATAATACCCAATCATATGTCTCTTTTAAACAGTTCTCTCTCTCATCTGTTTCAATGCAGTATACATCACTCCTCCCCTCCTTCTCTGCTTTCCCTCAACCCCGATGCCAGTCCTGTTTTATAACAGTGGCCCTATGCAATATTTGTCCTTTTGTGACTGAGAGATTTAACTCAGCATAATGTCCTCCAGGGGCATCCATTTTTCATAATGTTTCATGAGTTACTTGTTTTTCAATGCTGCATGGTATTCCATTGTGTGAATATACCACAGCTTCTCTATCCATTCATTTCCTGATGGGCACTTGGGTTGTTTCCAGCATTTTGCTATTGCGAACAAAGCCACAATAAACATGGGTGTGCACATATCTGCTTGGTGGCAGTTACGGTTTCTTTAGGGTAAATTTAGTGGAATTGCTGAGTCAAATGGTATTTCTATTTGCAACTTTTGGAGAAAGTGCCATATAGTCTTCCAGAGTGGTTGTACTATTTTACACTCCCACCAACAGTGAATAAGGGTTTCTGTTTCTCTGCAATCTCGCCAGCATTTGATGTTTGGTGTTCTGTTAAATTTTGCTATTTTTACTGGGGTGAGATGATATCTCATAGTTGTTTGATTTGTAGCTTTCTTAGAGCTAGGGATTTTGAACATTTCTTCGTGTGTTTGTTTGCTGTATGGATGTCTTCTTTGGTGAAGTGTCTGTTCATAGCCTGTGCCCATTTTTTTTGTTTTCTTTTTTTAATTATTATTAATTTCAATGAACATTCACAGAGATTGTGGATTTCCATTCATTCATTGCTGCACTTTTCTCCCCTCCCACCCTACCCCGACTCCCAGTTTGCTCTTTTTTAAAAGCAAAAGAAAAGCTCCTTCATTGTTATACAGTCCCTCCTCACCCTCACACCCTCACCCCGAGTATACTCCACTCTACAACCCTCATTCTGAACTCTTATGTTAATCATAGTGCCCTAAAATATATTACTTTTAAACTGTTCTCTCCCTCATTAGCTTCAATGCAGTTTACATAATTTATCCAGTTTTTCTCAGACTTACCCCCACCCAGATATCAGCCTCATTCTACAACAGTGCCTGTATCCATTTTTCAATTACCTTTATCTTGTTGTCGTGCTTGCAGCAAGAATTTTCAAACTTTGTCTGACATATTTTGGGCATGTTGCCAGGAGGGCCAATCTCTGAAGAAGGCCATCCTGCTTGAAAGGGTGAAAAGACAGTGCAGGAGAGGAAGACAGTGTATGAGATGGATTGAAGGAGGTAGGTGAGTCAGAAACAGTGAGATTGTTTCAGGATGGGACAGGGTTCAGAGCTATTGTAAGTAGTATAGCTGTGAGTCTCAATTGACTTGATAGCACATAACAACAACAGTAACAACAAAGCATTGTTCTGGCAACGCAAAGGAACACAGTTCAAATCCAACAGTTTTTGCACAAGAAAAATATGGACAGTCTCCTCTGTGTGATTTATTGTCTCTGAAAACCTGCTGGAGGATCAGCTATTAGTCAGTTCCAACTTGATGGTACCCAACAACAACAACAACAACAACAATAACAATTGATCAGTTATATGCTAAATATTTGTCTTGGAATAATGCTATGCAAGAAGCTTGCTAGAAATATTTATAATAATAAGTTGTAATTTCAAAGGCGTATGTCACATATTTTACCTGTCTATAAGTAGAGTATCATTTGTTACAATTAAGATATCTAGGCAATCTTCCAGCTCCTTCTTACAAGCACTTGTTTGTACTAGACTCATCAACAAAGAGAGCTTGAGCAAATTATAAGTCCCAGGAGGAACAATTTGTGATGCAAAGATGTTGGCAAGTATTGCTGTAAACTTCCAACATGAGGTGGAAGTTAAGGAGAGAAGACACTTGAAGTTGTCACTAATTCCTGAAGGAACTGAAAAGAAATATTAACACATACTTTAGAAAGGATTTTTTAAGATAATTTTTAAAAAATTTTAATTGTGATTTTAACGAAAGTTTACAGAAAAGTTAGATTTTCATTCATTCACTGTTGCACATTTTACCCTTCTCCTTTCCTCTCCCTCCCCCAGTTAACTTTTTAAAAAAAATTCATTCATTGTTGCACAATTACCTCCTCTTAGTCCTCTTTGCAATATACTTCTTACTATGAGTTATTGTCATACGTATAATGCCTAATTAAAAATGTGTTTTAAACAGTTCTTTCCTTCATCTGTTCCAACGCAATGCTCATTATCTATCTATTCGTATTCTATTCTCCTGGCAGCCCCCCTGTGTCAGACCTGCTTTATGACAGTGGTGATATGCAGCATTTGTCCTTTTGTGACTGACATATTTCACTCAGCATAATGTTCTCTACGGTTACCCAAGTTGTGTAATGTTTTATGAATTCATTGGTTTTCAGTGCTGCACAGTATTCCATTGTATGAGTTTTTCTATTCATTCGTTTGTTGATGGGAAGTTTGGTTGCTTCTATCTCTTTGCTATTGTAAATAGCAGTTCTGGCTTCTCTAGGGTATATTCCCAGTAGTGGAATTGCTGGATCAAATGGTATTTCTATTTTCAACTTTTTGAGAAAGTACCTAACTGCCTTCCATAGTACCTTTTTACCTTCCCACCAGCAGTGAATAAGAGTTCCAATCTGTCCACAACCTCACCAGCATTTATTGTTTGCTGCTGTTAAACTTGCTATTGTTGCTGGGAGAAAGGATTTTAAAACAGTGAGAAAATAACACTGTAGATATCCCATTCCAATTATCTAAAGTATTATCAAGTTACAGTTCTTTTATCTCTGCCATATTGGTATTTTCAAAATGATAATCAATTATGGACTTTGGCTTGTCATTTCTATCTAAGGGGATTTAACAAATGAAGCAGTCATGCTGTAAGTCCTCTTGCTCTGTATGGGTGCAAGTAAATCTATAACTCCCCATTTTAGACATACAAGCAAAAGCAGGGGCATTCATGAATCAGTGATAGAGTTCTTGCTTTCCATTCAAGCCCACTGGATTCCTAGCCAATGCATCTCATATGTGCCCACCACACCTTATTAGTGGAGGCTAATGTGTTTTCATGTGCTGAATGGCTTCCAATGGCTCTTCCCCACTAACACACCAAGATAGTGAGATGGCACAGGACAAGCACAGTGTTCTTATGTGCCATCGACTCAGGACTGACTGACTCATACATGATCCTCTAGAGGGTTTTTAGAGGCTGTAAATGGCACAGGAGAATATTGCCCATCTTTCTTCTATGAAGCAGTTGGTAGATTAAAATCTTGTGCCTCCTTTGCGTTGGCAGCACAACTCCTTATTCACTAGTCCACCAGACCTCCCATTTGTTGTTAATAGGGGCTGAGTCAAGTATGACTCATAGTGACCTTATAAACAACAGAGTTGAACTCTGTCCTATCTTGTGTCCTAACAATCTGACACACTTGAGTTCATTGCTGCAGTTACTGTGTATTCAATTTGCCTCATTGAGGGGCTTCCTCATTCACCATCCATTCATCCATCTTCCTGAACATGAGGTCTCTATTCAAGTATGTATGATGTATGATGAAGCTGGATCTGGTTTGCTTCCAAGGAGCAATCTGGCTTTAACTTCTCCAAGATATATCTGGTTTTCTTTTGGAAGTCCATCTCTCTCTCTCTCTCTCACACACACACACACACACACACATAAATATGTATATATGAACCTTCCATCATCCTCACAGTCTGCCTTATGCCTGAGTCCATTGTTACAGTCATTGTGTCAAATGTCAATTCATCATGTTGAGGGGCTTCCTCTCTTCTTCTGACCCTTTATCTTTCCCATCAGTACTTCTTTTCCCAAGGCCTTGCCCCTCCTAATTATATACCCAAAGTATGTGAAGAGAAGTTATACCACCCTTGCCTCTAAATAGCACCCTGGCTGTATTTTCACCAAGACACATTTTTTTCTTTTGCCAGTACATGGGATAGTATTCTAGGCATTGATTCATAAGCAACATCATGATAGATGGAGAAAGATGGAAGTTATCTACAATTTCATTTTACTTGGGTCCACAATCAAAACACATGATAGCAGCAGTCAAGAAATCAAAAGACAAGTTACACTGAAAAAATATGCTGTCAGAGACTTCTTCAAAGTACAAAGTGCAAGGATGTCAGTTATCACTTTAAGGACAAGATAGAGCTGATCTAAGCCATGGCATTTTCAATTGCTTCTCATATTTATATACTATAGTAATGATTCTCACCACTGAGCCAAATAGCAGTACCATGATGGAGAAGAGATTGAGATTGTTTACAATTTCAGCTTGCTTGGTTTCACAGTCAACACTCTTGGCACCAGCAGTCAGGAAATCAAAATGTGAACTGCATTAGGAAAATCTATTGTCAGAGACCTTTCTAGCATGCTGAAGGGCAAAGATGTCAGTCTAGTGACTAGGGTGTCTGCTTCATGCCATGTTCTTCACAATTCACACTTATTCATCAAAGAGCTAGACAATAACTAAAAATGACAGAAGAAAAATTGATGCCTTTGAGTCGTGATACTGGAGAAGAGGCCTTTGAGGCAACGATGGTGAAATTTTCTCATATATACTCTAGGAGTGATGCTAGAAAGCACAAGTCCTTTTAAAAAGGCATTACAGTGGGAAAAGTAGAGAGAGTCAATGAAAAGGAAGACCCTCAATGAGATGATTTGACAGAAAGACTTAAAAAAATGGGCTTTCGCATGGCAGAGATGGTGAGGTTGGCCCAAGATATAGCAAGATTTCAATATTTCAATGGCACCTAACAACAACACACCACTTTTTTCTCCACTTAATGTGTATGTGAAGGCATTGACCAAAAATAAGGCCCCAGGAATCCATGGGTTATTAATTGATATGTTTCAAAACTCACCATGTGCCAGAAAATTTGGGTGACTGCTACCTGGCTAACAGACTGGATGAAATCTATATTTATTCCCATTCCCAAGAAAGGTGATCCAATAGAGTGTAGAAATTTTCTAACAACATAACTAACATTGCATACAAGTAAAATATTGCTGAAAATCATAAAAATTGGCTAGAAAAGTACACTGACCGAGAACAGCTAGAAGTTAAGGCTGGGTTTAGAAGAGGCCATGATGCAAGGGATATCATTACTGATGCTGGATATATCCTGGCTGAAAGCAGAGAATATCAGAAGAATATCTATTTATGTGTTATTGACTCTGCAAAAGTATTTGAATCTGTAGATCATAGAAAATATGGTTATCAGAGAAGAATGAGAATCTCAGAACACCTAACTGTGCTCACACAAAACATATACCTAGACCCACAGTCTGCTGCCCAAACAGAGCAAGGGAAAACTGTTTTGTTGTTGTTGTTATGTGCCATAAACTTACCTGCGACTCATAGCAACCCTATGTACATCAACCCTAAACCCTGCTCTATCCCTTGTCAATCTTATTGTCTTCAACACACCTATCCCAATTAGCCTAGTAACTAAATCAAGCCATCTCATCAAGGGTCTTCCTTTCCATCCTCCCAAGTATGATGTCCCTCTCCAAGGACTGATCTTGCCTTGCAACATTTCCAAAGTATGTCAGACGAAGCTTCAGAATCCTGGTCTCGAAGGAGCAGCCTGGTCTCACTCTCTGTAGGACAAACTTTTTTGTTCTCCTAGCAGTCCATGGTATATTTAATACTCTTTCCCAGCACCACAGCTCAAAGGCATCAACTCTCCTATCACCCTTAGTTGTTGTCCAGCTCTCTGATGAATAGCAAGTAATTGCAAAGACCATGGCCTGTATCAGGCACACCTTAGTCTCCAAACTGACATTGTTGCTCTTCAGTGCTTTGGAGAGGTTTCTGACAGCAGACTTTCCCCAATGCAATTAATCTTTTAATTTCCTGGCTGCTGGTACCAAGAGTGTTGATTGTGGAGCCAAGCAAACTGAAGCGGTCAACAATCTCAATCTCTTCACTATCTATCATCATGCTTCCAATCAGCCCAGTGGTGAGAATCTTTGTTTTCTTGATGTTGAACTTCAATCCATATTGAAGGCTGCAGTCCTTGACTTTCTGTAGCAAGCGCTTCAGGTCCTCCTTAGTTTTAACAAGCAGGGTTGTGTCATATGTTGAACACATATTGTTGATGAGTCTACCTTCAAGCCTGATGCCACACTTCTCCTCATAGAGCCCAGACTCCATGATAATATGTTCTGCATATAGATTGGAAAGATATGGAGATAGGACACATCCTTGACACACACCCTTCCCAATTTTGAACCATGCAGTTTTCTTGCTCTGTTCTGACGACTACTTTCTGGTCCAAGTAGTTGAGCAAAAGATTCCAGAGGGCAGTATAGGAAGACAAAGTAAAGTATTACAATGAAATATACAAGAAACTGGAGTCAGAAAATCAAAAAGGTTGAACTTGCTCAGCATTTCTTAAGCTGAAGGAACTGAAGATCAAATTCAAACCTCAAGTGGCAATAGTTAAGGATGCTTTGGGCAGAATATTAAATGATCCAGGAAGCATTAAAAGAAGATGGAAAGAGTATATAGAATCATTGTACCAAAAGGAAATGGTGGACACTGAAGAAATTCCTGAAACAACATATGAGTAAGAGCTTATATGTGGTAATGAGGAAGAAGTTCAAACTGCTCTGAAAGAATTGGCAAAAAAGAAGGCCCCAGGAATTAATGGCAATACCGATTGACATTTCAACAAACAGATGTTGCCCTGGAGGTGCTTACCAATTTTCACCACTGGACTGATAAGCATTATCATGATAGAGACAAAATGGAAACTGTTAACAGCTTCATCTAACTTGGCTCCACAACTAACTCACTTGGTCTCACCAGTCAGGAGGTCATATATTGCATCAGGAAAGTCTGCAGTCAGGGACTTCTCCTGGTCACTGAGGAGAAACATGGTGCATGATTCAGGCTATGGTCTTTCCCATCACTTGCTATGCACCTTGAGAGCTGGAAAATAAATAAGGATGACAGAAGAAGTATTGATGTGTTTGAGCTGTGGTGTTGATAGAAGAGTACTAACTATCCTATGGACTGCCAGAAGAACAAACAAATATGTTTGGAGAAAGTACAACCAGAGTGCGTCTTAGAGGCAGAGATGACAAAACTTTGTCTCTCATACTTTGGGCATGTTGTTAAGAGGAGCTTTACTCCTTGAAGAGGGACAACAATCTTGGAAAGGTGGAGGTGGGTGAAAGAGGAAGACCCTTTTCCAGATGGATTGACAAGTGACTTCTGCAATGACCTCAAGCATGTCAGAAATAATGAGTATGACACAGGGTAGGGCAGGCTTCAGATATGTTGTCACTATGAGCTGTACTTGACTTGATGGAACCTAACAACAACAAAGCATAATCATGGTAGAGTTAAAGAAAAACAAAAAGTAATAAAGGCAAGAAGCTGAGCTGCAATCCCAAAGGTATGTGGTCCAAGGCCACCAGCTGCTCCATGGAAGGACGGGCAGTCTCCTCCTGTGTAATAACTGTCTCTGAAAACCAGGGTCAATTTTAACTCAACAGTACACAACAACAATATTTCATTTTCCATCCACCTTGTCCTTTTCTCTTATTTCTCAATTGATTAATAATTTGGATTATAGAAGTGTGCTACTTTACCAGTTCTCTCTCTCTCAGACCATAACATCATCTTATCTAGAGAATATATAGCAATATACAAAAACTCTTGACTGCTCTTGGCGTTTAAAAATGTCTACCTTATTGATAATTACCAAAAGAAATAGTAAGCTCAAAGAAAATGACCATGGATGCCAGCAAGCTTCTCCAGAACTATTCTGCTTTATTTTCTTCAAAGCAATTAAAGTTCTATGGGAGCAAGACTCTCACCTATCCTGCTCAAAGCTGTGTCTCTAAGAAGAAGCTGGTTAGTATCCCTGGTTAGAAGAGCACATGGGCAGTCAATAAAAACTGACTGAAAAAAATAGGTTGAAGCATTTATGACACCAGAACTTCACTTACCTTTTGGATTGTAAAAACTGATGCTATTTGCCTCTACACAGACAGTATTTTGTGAGGTTTTGACACAGGTTGGAATTCCAATAATTTTATACTCATTTCCTACAATCATCTTATTCACGGTTTCATCTAAAATTATTAAACACAGAAGAAAATTACTGTTGACCAAATGAAACATGTCCATGGTCATATAGTTCAAAGATCTAAAGTATCTTTGATTAGAACAATTTAGTAGAGTTAATAATAAATTATTCCATTTTGATTATTAATCATATAGAATCAGAACAACTCAACCTGTTGCTATCATATCAAGTCAGAAACTGACTCACTGTGGACTCTCCACCAGCTTTTCTAAGGCTATATATTGCATAGAAGACAGTCCATCTTTCTTCCTTTTACCAGCTGGTGGATTTGAAGCTCATGCCTTTCTGTTGGCAGCACATCTCCTTACTCATTAGGAAGTGAGAACTTCCTTTTCAGTTAGTAGCTCTCACTATTTACATGAAATATAAACATAAGACAATGAGAGATCTCTAATTTTAAATGATTGTCACCTCTTGTGGTGGTGACCAAGATTTATCACAGTGCTTGGAACAGAGCAGAAACTGCAATCTTTTCACTTATTTACCGTGATACTCACATGCACTTAAGAGAATATTTATGAATAAATGGATGAATAATTTCTATATTAATGAATATGATTTTTTTAAATCTTCAAAGAGAAAAATAACTATTCTTAAGAACCAGACTATAGAAAGCTTTTGAATATTTTAGAGTAGTTTACTTTTTCTCATAGGGAAACCACAAACACAGTCCTCACTACCACGAATTAGGCAGTCGAGTTTCCCACACTTGGGAAATAGTAGAGGTCAGCACATGCAAAGTGCAAGGGATAAGCTTTGCCCTGGAAAACTACCTTTGTGATCATAGTCTCTCCCCTGCCTGGTAGGTGCAGCAGTTTATTCTGAGTTTAAATACAACTTACCTCTCAGGAAAACTGTAAGGGATTGAAACCTGAATGCCTGGCTGTTAGAAACTCCCTGAAAAGCATGAAGTGCCTTCGTGGCAATTACTTCAACAATCTGTTTATCTTAAAGCAAAGGGCAAAATAATTAGTTATTAGGATATAGTCAACTTAATTTCCACATTATATTAGTTACTAATTTAAGAATCATAATTGCAAAATGCTAATATATTTTTACCACCAAGTACTCTAAATTTTCTGTCTTCTTGAAGTGAAGAAGCACAGAGATGACATAGGAAGTCGTTTCTCACTGTTGCAGATTCTGTAGCCCCAGGCACATGGACTCTTATATACTGAAATCCTGAAGGAAACAGAGGTGAACTAAATTTTCTTTTACCCTCTTTTAGTCCTTTAAAATTAATTTAATTCCAAGCACACTAACTTAAGTTTGCAGAGAAGTTCAGTTAACATTCACTGCATACAGGAGAAAGATGGGCAGTCTCCTCCTCCCCTGTGAGTTACAGGCTCTGAAAATCCTCTGGAGGGATAGCTATGAGTTGGTTCTGGATCCATGGCAATGACTTAGAATTTTCTTGACATCTCTTGTGCTAAGGCACAAGTAACAGGCTTACACAGATCATTTCAATGCGCAACAATCACAATAAAAAAACTGAGAAAAAACATCTGCTAGCAAGTCAACTGTGATTGTGTAGACACCAAGTGCCTTGGAGTAAAATGGCTCTCCTTAGAATCTTCATGGCTGTTACAATTTGGAAGTAGATTGCCAAGCCTTTTTTTAAAATGACTTGCTAGACTCAAATTGCCAATCCTTCAGTTAGTAGCCCACAGCTTAGCTGCCGGGCAGAGGTGTATTTTTTGCAGATTGTTGAAATAGAATAGAGAAGAAACATTCAACCCAATGAGAGGTAAGTATGAATGGAAAAGATTTCCTGTAGAAGAATGGAACTAAAATGAAGTAAAAAATCTGAGAAGAGGACATTACCTGGAGACATAATAGCAACAAAACAAAAAAACCAACCCTAAAATGAGTCATGAAATAATATATGGGAAGAACAAACATTATAGGAGTGGAATTGAAAAAGAAACATTCAAGATTTGCAAAGTAAACATATAAACACTAGGGCATATAAATTTTTATTACATTCCTTCTATTTTGTGAACACTTCATAATTGTAAACAGGATTTAGGATGAAGCAATGAACTATTTAATATTTTTATTTTACATTCCCATATTTACCTTGTGAAAGAGGACATGCTTCATCTGAGCAAAGGAACCTGGCACCCTGTGTATACTTGGTTACAGTTGTCATTGCAATTACAATTCCTTGCATCACATAAAATCTCTGAGATGTATAGTCCAGTGGAAATTTACAAAGATCAAGGCCATAACTTGGCAGAGGAGGTAAATGTGTTAATTTCAGCACTATATTAATCTAATAAGGAAATAAAATTAGTATTAATTAAAAACCGCAGAGCCAATTGAATTTGCATTACAATATAATAAACAGAAGTATAACATAGAGTGTGGAGCTCTCATGGTATAGTCTGTAGAGAGTTGGCTGTTAATGCAAAGGTAGCGCCTCTCTGAAGGTGCAAATCCACGAGGGCCTCAGAGGGAGAAAGATGGGCAAACTCTCTGGAAATCTACTAACGAGCCAGCTCTGAGTCAACTAGGGGTTAGTTCCAATTCAAGCATACACAACAACAACAGTAACAAGTGCAATTGTGTCAAAAATAACACAAGAAAATCTTGAAGAGTCTTTCAAAGATCAAAAATACTATAACATGTACACCCATGTTTATTGTAGCTTTGTTCACAGTAGCAAGGAGTTGGAAACAACCTAAGTGCCCATCAACAAACGAATGGATAGAGAAGCTGTGGTACATTCACACAATGGAATACTATGCTGCATTGAAAAACAAGGAACTCTTGCAATATTATTCAAAATGGGTGATCCTGGAGGACATTATGCTGAGTGAAGTATCTCAGTCACAAAAATGAGAAATACTGCATGGTGCCACTGTTGTAAAACATGACTGACCTCGGTATTGGGGGAGACTGAGAAAGATGGGTTCAATAATGTATACTGCATTGAAACAGATAAGGGAGAGAACTGTTTAAAAGGGTTATGTGATTAGGTATTTTTGTCATGACAGGAGTCCAGAGTGAAGGCTGCATAGTGGAGTGGACCTTGGGGGAGGGATTGTAAAACAATGAAAGAATTTTTCTTTTACTTTTCCAAGAGGGTAGTGTACTAGGGGGGAAGGTTGGGAGGGGGGAAAAGTGCAACAATGAATGAATGAAAATCCAAAGTCTCTGTAAATGTTCATTGAAATTAATAATAAATTTTAAAAAATAATGTAAAAAATAGTATAACATACACATCAAAGGGATTAAAAAGGATTCACTGCAACATATCAAATATATAAAGGTTCATGAATCCCTAATGGTTTTTTAGTAGTTTTTCTTTAAAATGGTCATTTGTTATCATTGGAAGCTGGTAGGATTTTGACTCATTATTTTCTGGATACTGAAAAAAACAATCAAATATTTATCCTGTGTTTCTTTTCTTTTTTTTGAATAATATTTTTTTTTAAATGTATACTGGCTTATTTACAAAGTTCGTATACATTATTTTTCACTCTGGATCTTCTCCATTTCCTTCACCCTACCCCTTCCTCCACCCATCGAATTGTGTGACCACGTTTCTTATGTAATATATATATTTTCTTTTCTTTGTACCTTCAAATAAAATATGACTGGTTCAGGAGGGTATTGCCCCTCCTCTTCCAGCAGAGCATCTGGTGGATTCGAACCATGCACCTCTGGGATTGCAGTGCAGCTTCCTGTCACTAGGCCACCAGAGCGCGCCTATAATGTATATTTTAGGACAAACAGTTGATCAATGTTTCTCTTACAGAATAATTGTTATTGTTATGTGCCATCATGTTGCCTATGACTCATAGTGACCCTGTGTACAACAGCTCTGAACCCTGCTCTCTCCTGAGACAACCTTATTGCCTCTGACACACCTAACCCTATTACCCCAGTCACTGAGTCAATTAATCTCATTGAAGGCCTTCCTCTTTTGCGTGGCCACACTACCCTCCCAAACATGACATACCTCTCGGTACCTTCTTGCAATATACACAAAGTATGTCAAGATGGAGCTTTCAAGGAGCAGCCTGGTTTCACCCTTTCTAGGATAAACCTGTTTGTTCTCTTAGCCATTCATGGTATATTCAACACTCTTCTCTAGCACCACAGCTCAAAAGCGTCAACTCTCCCTCTGCCATCCTTAGTCATTGTCCAGCTTTCTGATGCATAGCATGTAATTGCAAAGACTATATCAGGAGCACCTTCATCTGACTGACATAAGCACAGCAGAGGTTGGGACAATGGTGAAGGATTGGATAGGCTTTGTGCTGTTTTACATCTTATTCTCTCTTAAGTAGGAATTTACTCTCAGCTAACACTGAAGTGGGTTTTCTGAGGCTGAAAATCACCTCTTTCTCCCTGTTTTACATAAGGTCAGTACAGGTTGGAGATAACTCAGTAGCACCTAATAATAACAAAGAGCATATACCAGCAAAGTATACAAAAATTTAAGATGCAGGTCTGAAATACATGTAGAGGTGAAATCATAGGATGTCTGGGATTTGACTCTGAGGCAGGGGTTGCAAAATCTTGTAAACCCCTGGAGCAGAGTGATAGCTTTATTGTATTATCATCTTTAGCTTGTGTGTGTTCAAAAATGTATCATTTTGAAAATGTTTAATGTTAGAAGTAATAATATAAAAAGTAAAGATGTATATTAAATATTCTATTGAACTTTGAGGAACATAAAAAAATTTAGCAAACAAAAGTATGGATATAAAAATATTGTGAGTTATTTTGAAAGTATTATACTTGAATTTTCTTCATTTAACTAAAACTTACTTGAGTTTCAGTCTGTAATTGGCCAATTAATGAAAGAGTCTTAACAGCAATGAAACAAACCTGTAATTTGAAACAAATAAAAAGTTACCAACAATTCCATGCAGCATGAAATGATTTCATTCTTTAACTTACTGACTGAAAAACTTTAGCAGCTTTCAAAGGGTGGTGTAAAATATGATTCCCAAGTTCAGCATCTAATTCGACAACATCAGATGGATTTATTAAAATATTGAATCGATAGACAGCATAACTTTGCTTTGAATCTGTAGAAATAAACAAATGTAAAAGTCAGTATAGTCATATGTATGAATTTATTTTAAAGTTTTAAAAGCAAACTTCCTTTTGCTGAACATACCATTATAACGCTCGCAATCTTTAATAAATTTTTGGAGGCCTCTGCTTCTGTCAAGATAAACAAGAGCTGCTTCTTTCATTTTCAGATCTGACATTATCTCCTCATTAAATATTCTTTAATTTATTAAATCACAGTCGCTGATAGAAAAAAGTACAGATGGTGCAATTAATACAAAAGATGAGAAACCTAAAATTTTTTAAAAAATTACTTCTCAGGAAAAGATCTTCAATGAAATATTACAAATTAAGCATAAAATAAAACTGTTAAAATTTCTAATTGACCCTGGATGAAATGGATTGCCTCAGTGACTAACTGGATGAAATGGATTAACTCAGTTAATGGGGTAGATGTGTTGGAGACAATGAAATTGGCTTGAGACAGAGCACGGTTCAGAGCTGTTTTATGTAGGGTTGCTATGAGTGACAAGTCACTTGATGGCACATAACAACAACAACCACCACTCAAAAGAAATGAAAGAATTATCTTACTAAACCTATCAACTGCCTTTGAGTTGGCTCCAATGTGTAACAGCAACCTTCCCTTAGGACTCAGAGGCTGTAAGTCTCTACATGAGGCCTCTACCCATCATTCTGTTCCAGAGCAGCTGGTAGATTAGAACCATTGACCTTTCCATTAGTAGAACAACATATTATGCACTATGCCACTATAACTCCTAATGACATAGAGAGTTAAAATTTACTTCTTGTTTTCTACCATTAAATCTGAACTACCTTGTATCTGACCTTCCAGTGGGTTTTTTTGAATCATTTTAATTGAATGGGAAGAGGCTGCCCGTCTTCTATTGTGGAGCACCTGGTGGACTGAAACCATGTGCCTTTGAGATAGCAGCAAATCTCTTCAACACTAGGCCTCTGAGATCCCTAAAATGTATTTAAAAGCCATAAATATTAAATGGAAACAACAATATGTATTTGTTGTTTATACAACTGTTATACAATTTGCCAGCATTTGTATAATGTATAAGGGATAAAATGATTATACTTGGATCCAACCTTCAAACTGTTGCCAGTTGAGAGAAGTGAGAAAAAAGAACTAATACTTTTATTTATCATTAGTTATTGATCATATTTTTTCTGCATACAAGCCTAACTTTGGCATATAGTGTAGGATATAAAAATGGATAAAGTATGGCTTCTATTCTTCATAAAGAATCCAGTGAAGGATATCAATTACATACACAATTATAGTATTGAGAAGGTGCACAGTTCAAATCCACCAGCTGCTCCTCGGGATGATGGCCAATCTCCTCTGGCATGGTTAAGTGCTTCTGAAAACCCACTACAGGGTCAATTATGGGTCGGTTCTAACTTGATGGTCCACAACAACCACAATGTCTGATATTATTGTTGTTGTTCTGTATCTCAAAGGAGGAAACCGATCACCTTTCTCTCAAGAAACAGTTGGTGGATTTGAAACACGTATCTTTGAGGTGGTAGCATAATTCCTTACTGGTATGAATATACCAGGGAGCCCAAAAAGATTATATATAATACATCACACAATTTGGGGCTATCTTTGTGTGGAGGTCATGCTGAATTTTGTATTATCAAAATTAGTTTTAAGAAATTGTCATTGAATACAGTAGAATTATCAACGAATTATGAATTCTACTTTCATGGTGACATTTGATAGATGTACAGAATTTCATTCTCTGAAAGTTCGGTAGAAAAGGGAAAGTTTTCCAGAGAAAGAGCTCATCTTCCCTCCAGTTTATCCAGTTATCAGTCCTACCTTACTGGAACCACATTTCCAATACCTTAAGTTTAGGCTACTTTCCCAAGTATTTGAGTATGTTCTTTTCCATGTTTAGCATAAGTGAAACTTAAGAAGTGTTTCTTTGACCATAAAATCAATGCTATTAAAATGCTCATTGTTTTTAAGGTATGTTATCTTTGTTATCATTTAAGTTTCTGAGGGCTGGATGAAAGAAGACTATCGATAATGAAACTGAGGGGCGAGGCGAGACTATGAAATCTATGCAGTTGAAGAAAGACCGTCAAGCTTCTGTTGTTTTAAACAAGGGAGTAACATGCTAACATTTTTATTTTGTTTGTGACATCAGAGCCTGCTTCCAGCATTAAAAGTGGATGTGTTTTTAACTATTGCAGTAGTTGTAAGAGGCAGAGGCCCTGAACGAGAGGACTGGGAGCTGAACGGGATGAACATGGAGGGCAGCCTTGGAGAGGCCACGCTGGTCACGAGGACCAGACCGTACAAACTGGAGAAGTCGTCAAAAGACGACGGAATTCTCAGCGTGGGTGTGGGGAGATGACGTCAGAAACACGAAACCCAGTTAAACAAGGTAGAAAATAACACGGCGTCGTTACGTCCTCGAGTCCCCGTGACTCACAGCGACCCTCTGACCAGCAGCTCCAAAGCCACCCCGCAGCCTGCCCGGTCCTGAGCCAGTCTCACTGACCCTCACCCCCACCCCTGCCCCAGTCGCTGTATCGATCCTCCTCCTCCTCCTCCGGGGTCTCCCTCTCCTGAGCTGTCCGGCCACCCTTCTGTCCCCGACGTCCTTCTCCAAGGACCCATCCCTCATGGCCACGTGCCCCAAGTATGTGAGACCGAGCTTAGTGGATGTATCGTCAAAACGGAGAAAAATGGAGGGAAAAGACTCAGAAGGCTGTGAAAAAGTGTTAAACACAGTAACGGGGATGATATTTCCCAAGTCTTCCCACAGCCTACAAAACGGAAATGCTGGGACCTCAGAAACTGGGCCATTTGCCTTCACTCTTTGCCCTGTGAGGACACAGGACGGATTTGTGAGAAGAGGACAGAAAACTCCTCACAAGGAAAGCAATTCAGGCCTCACAGCCTGGAGGAAGGACACCGTCCCACCACTGACACCACTCCTTGTGGAGAAGAGGACCAGCTCTGACGCGGGAAGGACCTCGGTCAGCTCCGCCCTCACCAGCGGGCGCTGAGGACGCGCCTCCCCACAGCCGTGTGCAGCCCTGGAGCGCATGCGCGGACCTGATGCCGGTGAGAGCGCAGGGCCTGCTGGGAAGCCGTCCGGGCGGCGTGAGGCACCCTTCAGCGCTTCGCTGTGGTTCAGGGATCTCTGGGGCACAATCTGCGCTTACTTCCCAAATTAGTTTTTCCATCATTCTTCGTTCTTGCAAGGCAAATAAGAAAAGGATATGATTTGATTTTTCATAGCTATCATACATTGTTGTTGTTATGGGCATTCGAGTCACCTGTGACTCACAGCAACCCTATGTACAACAGCCCTAAACTCTGCTCTGTCCTGTGCCAGTCTCCAACACACCTACACCCATTACCTCAGTCACTGAATCAATCCACCTCATAGAGGGTCTTCCTCTCCTGCGCTTTCCCTCCACCCTCCCAAGCATGATGTCCTTCTCCAAGGACTGGTCCTTCATTGCAACACGTCCAAACTATGTCAGATGAAGCTTCAGAATCTTTGCCTCCAAGGAGCAGCCTGATTTAATCCTCTCTAGGGTGAACCTCTTCATTCTCTTAGTAGTCCATGGTGTATTCAATACTATTCTCCAGCACCACAGCTCAAGAAATCAATTCTTCTTCTATCATCCCTAGTCATTGTCCAGCTCTCTGATGCATAGCAGGTGATTGAAAAGACCATGGACTGTTTCAGGAGCACCTTAGTCTCCAGGGTGACGTCATTGCTCTTTAGTACTTTGGAGAGTTCTCTAACAACAGACTTTCCCATTGCAATACGTCTTTTCTTTTTTTTTTTTTTAAACCAGACGTTAAAAAAAAAATACATAAAATCAACACTGTAACACCCTTCACACCCGCAGTCAGGAAATCAAAAGACTCATTGCATTGGGAATGTTGGCTTTCAGGAACCTCTCCAGAGTAGTGAGAAACAACTATGTCAGTCTAGAGATTAATCCAAGCTATGATCTTCACAATTACTTGCTATGCATCAGAGAGCTGGACAATGACTAAGGATGACAGAAGAATTGATGCCTTTAAGACATGGTTCTGGGGAAGAGTCTTGAACACATCATGAACTAAATAAGTCTGTCTTGGAGAGAGTGAAATCTAGTCTGTCCTTGGAGGCTAGGCTTTTGAAACTCTGTCTCACATACTTTGGGCATGTGGCCAGGAGGGACCAGTCCTTGGAGAAGGATATTATGGTTGGAAGAGTAGAGGGACACCGCAGGACAGGAAGACCTCTGATGAGATGTATTGATACAGTAACTTGGGCCAGAGGGTAGGTTTGTCAGAATCAGTGAGACTGGCTCAGGACAGGGAACATAACAACAACAATGTGTGATAACCATAAAAAGCAAATTATATCCTTCCTTGCCTTATAAGAAGGAAGAAGGATGAAAAAAACAAAAAACCCCAAACCATCTGAACTTTGCTCTATTTTACACCAGGCTCACTATTTAAAACATCAGGTGATTGGAACTACTTAAACAAGAAACCTTTATGAGCACAATGACTTTTCCAAAAGCGTCAATATTGTTTTTTTTTTAAAGGTAAATAACCTCTTTATTTACTGAAACTCCCACCTTCACATTGAGCGTATTTTTTACATTCTAGAATAAAATAAAGACAAAAGTATAATTATTACCTTTTTAAAGAAAAGCCTCCAGTCTGGATATATCTTTAAAAATTAGTGAAACCATAGAAAAACAGCTCACTTCTAAGAGGCAAGGGCTGGTTTTGAACAGTTCCTATTTTAGTTGCTGATAAATATGAATCCCAAGACATAAACCTGATAACTTGCCAGCGAAATGCATGCACAAATCAAGTACAGACTAATAGGATCATTTGAATGACCCCTAAAGTTAAATTAACAAGATAATTGATTCAGCTGCTCAAACAAGGCACCAGAAACTCGTCATCGCAACTTTCTTCTAGGAGTACTAATTTATTCTGTGCCGTGTCTGCTAAATATTACATTTGCACCGATTTTAGTTGTAAATCAATGAGCACATAAACATTTTAAGGCTTGGGATTTTATTTTGCTCCGTTTTGTGGCAAGAAGGTGCAGAAAAAAGGAGGTGTATGTGATATGTATGGAACAAGATTAATTTGGCAGGAAAGACTAGCAAGGCAAAAGACATATTGCCTAGGATAGTTGTAATTACATTTGAAAGTCCCAGAGAGGATACCAATCCAGGATTCATTCTTTGTTTCCTACCAATTTCAGCTTTTAAAG